TATGTGACACATAACATATGTGAAAAAATCTTTAAAATATGCGCATATATTTGCACCACATATTTCTGGACACCCTAAAACAAATTTAATTATAAAATTGATCTGCATGCGATATGTCCGACGCTTGTTATATTTAAAATTTTAAAATAACAATAAATTTTTAAAAAGGAAATATATCTACCTTTTCAACTTCTTGATCTTTAGTTGTTTCTTCGTCATTTTGAGTTGGTTACAATTGTTTTTCACTCATCCTACGATGATTCCCGTTGTTTTTCCTACTCGATTTAATGATTTTGCCCGTTTTAATTCGCGTCGTTCAGAGCGTATAGAAATTTTTGAATTTGTTTCGACAGGCCAAGAAGGAGTAGAGTATTGTGAATCAACAGAAGAATTTATATTAAGATTTTCAGTTTAGAAGTTGATATGAGGCAGCATACGACGAATTTATAGGAGATCTAAAGATATAGATTTCGATTGTGTATCATGACTTTTAATATTGGAACTAAATCGAATATTTGATGTTTTCACTTCTTCCATGTTATTAAATTCTATATCTTCTTTCGAAGTAATATCATTATTTTCATCATTGGTCTCAGGATGGAAGTTTTCCCTTGAAGATTTATTTATAAAGGAAATTCTCCTCATATTCACTTTCTTGTATGTTATTTGATTGGAGTAATTCTTCATTTATACTTTTACTAGTTTTTGCCATTTTGATAAGGATTTGTACTCAAAAAAAAATAAATTCCAAATAGAAAAAATAATGTTTAAACGATATTATTTTATTTAATTTATGCTCAGATTTCTGATAAGCTTCCAGATAAAAACTGAGTTGTATTGATTTATAAGTTAATTAAATTTTTTGCCAAATAACTATAGTATTAGCATTAGCAAATGGCAAAGTCGTATTATATTAAATAAATAGCTTTGACTTTCGATATTATTGTTTCGACGATATCGAAAACTTAAATTTTATGCCCGCAAATTTTACAGCTCAAGAATGATTTTATAGTCGCTATCAACAAATTAGACATGACTGAAATTTTTGATTTCATTATTATTTTTTTTATAAACGACTTTTTCTTTTTTTCTTGTAATCATTTTTATCATCTGAATTGGGCATTAAAAGAGGGAAAGTATTGAAAACAATTTCTAAAGGAATTTTTCGATGAACTGAATAATGATAATCTCAATTTTTTTTTGTTTAACATAATCCCAAAATAGTCCCCCAATCACACCACCCGCTATAATTTATAATGGTTGACCACTTGATGAAGAAACTTGGTGCATCGTCTCCTATCCGAGTCAACCTATAGCCATTACCCAGTGATACAGAGTATGGTCGACCAAATGAGTATAATATATCACGTGAAATGGGTTTGAGTATATTTTTTGTTATACTAAACGGCTGCGCTAAACTCAAATTATGCCTGCTTTATATAGTAAGATATGCTAATATTTGTGAAATTTTTTTATAAAATATGCTTCGTTTATTTATTTTCAAAAAATGCTAAAAAAAATGCCTACAATTACAAAATTTTAATTATTAAAATACAAAAAATTCAAAGCAGCAATTGAATCTTCTGAAAGAGCATGCTGTCTATCACTAAGAATATTAGTATATGCTGAAAAACTTCGTTCTACATCTATCCCAGATACTGGAAGCCAAATATATTCTAAAGCCAATCTTGATAAATTTGGTAAGCTTCTAATTTTGTTTTTTCAATAAATGGGTTATGATCTAAGAAAATCAAGTTCTGAGAAATTTTTGATTAAAATTAATATCTTATTACATTTTAATCTAAATGTAATAAAAATTAAAATGCAATTAAAATCTCAATTTTATTAAAAAATTCTCAGAACTTGATTTTCTTAAATCACAACCCAAATATTTAAATCAAACTTACCATCTTCAAACTCTTTTTCCAAATTACAATAAATTCACCATTCTTGTATAATTTGATCTGTTGGGTTTTTAAATTCTTGAATTTTGGAATATAAACTAATATTATAATAATGTTGTTGAGTATGAATATAACATGAATCAAAGCATTGAATTGCTTTAAACAAAGGTAATGCTGAATGATAATCTATATATTTCTTTAATTTGTTAAAAGCTAATTGATAAGCTTCTTGAAACATTGTAATAAACACCGATGAATCAACATTTTCTTCCAAAAATTTAGTATTCATCTCATTACTAAAAGAAGGTTGAATAATATCAGATTGTAATGCAGATTCAATATGTATCAAGTGGTGAGACACAAAAGGAGCAATAGGTTTATTTCTAATTTTAAAGAATTCAAGATTATTTACAATACTATGTAAATAAATGTAAATTAGATTTACATTTTTATATAAATAAATAATACCAATTATAACTTACTGTTTTGTATTAAATAAAATAAACATAAGTATAATTTCAAATGTAAAAATATGTACTGAATTTTTAAAAATTGTTGCCTATTCTCAAATAGTTTCACTTTCATTACTAATAATTTCTTCTTCAATATAGAATTTACATAATTGCAATATATATTGTTTTATCCAAAAAACAAAATTAAACTATGAATTCCAACAGGTTTTTACAGGTAAAGGTGGTAATGTGATTGAATTTTGATTAGAAGAAACTGTGGTAGAAGAAAAAAAGGAATTTAAAAAAGCAGACCATCTTCTTTTACGTACAGATAATGAATAAAAGATTTTTTATATTTGCTACAATATTAACTAGAAATTTGAAACTCTTATAACTAATCTATATTTCTCCAACCAAATTTAAAATATGAGTTAAACAACAGTTATGTTTTAATTGGAGAATTAAAGGGGATAATATTTGAAAGACTTTTAATATATGGGTGAGTGCTAGGAAAAGGGACCAAATCGACAAAAAATTTTTTTTTGAAATAACAAATGATCTGAATCAGATGACCAAATCTACATCTATTTTACTTAGAAACTTTTTTTTAAAAAAAAAATCAATTTGGTCCATTTTCCCAGCACTTACCCCATATATGCTGCATTATAGAAATAAAAAAATAAGATTGTCATAAGAAAGGTTATAAAATTGTAAGGTTCTTATAACTAATTGAATAATAGTAGTATTATTGATATTATCCAAATGTTCTGTCTTGATTAATTTAGTTTGGTTGCTGAAACTAAATAATACATTGATAGCTGTCTAATCACAAACATCTGTAGTTTCATCAATTGTAATAGATATATGTTTATTATATACTATTTCTTGCATATTAGAAACCTTCATATTAAAAACAATTGGCAAATATTTTTTTTGTAATAAAGAAGAGTCTGCAATAGCTCTACCTATAATATTATTAATTGATTTAATAACATGTTAAATAATAAATTAAAAATAAAATAAATTTTACATACCATTTCTACAAAATTCAAAAAAAAAGTCTTGAAATTTGTCTACTTTTTTAAGTGGTATATCTGCTTATGTAAATGCTTTTTATTAATAACTTCACGTTTATTTAACCCATTATTATTAATATTAAAGGTAGTTTGATAAAGTCTTATTTTATTTTCAACTTTGTATACATTTTTTTTATATTTGTCTAACTTTAAATGTAAATCTAATGTGGATTTTTTTTATGGTCTAAAATACTTTGGCAAAATTCACAAAACAGTTTTTGACCATCAACATAAAAATTTTTTTTATATTCTAAACTTTTGAGTTTATGCTCAATTGCTGAAATCATTGTTAAAAAAAAAAATAAAAGATCAGAAACAATTGATCAATCATCTCAAATTATGATCTTAATCTTAATCTATAAATTTTAACTGCAGATATATATGCTATTGATAAGTGAAAAATGTGAAATTTAATAAATTTGCAATAGCATATGCTAATGTGAAAATCTTAATTTCTGTATATATTATACCGCTGCAGAATATGGGCCACCCTAAACAGACATAACCTAACCCTAAACTAACACTAACTTACAAATATTAATGTTAATTCCTAGCAATTAAGTATAAAAGGTTATACTCAACATCAATTATATATCATACAATACTCAATTGGTCGACTATAATTTACAACTTTCCGTCTCACCTTTACTTCCTTCACAAGAGGAAGTATAAACACTCATTAAAGTAAATGCAAACTGAGGAATAGATGATCATTTATTAAATCACATTTGGTAAAGTCCTAATAAATCCTAATTATTCTTAAAAAATTTAAAGATAATTTTAATTTATATACTATTATTTAAATTTTTTAATAATAAATTAATCTTTTTAATAATTATTATTTTATTAATTTAAAATAAAAAATTCTTTAAAAATTATAAATATACTTAATTTAAGATCTAGTCTTAAGATCTAGGTCCTAAATTTAAAATTTTTTAGATATTTTAAATTTTAAACTCAAATAATAAAACTAAAATAAAAAATTTCAAATAATATCAATATTAATCATCTAAAAATATAAGCTAAATGATATTAAAAAAATATTCAATAATATCAATGTTATAATTGCAACTAATCTAATATTTAAAATTAAATGTATGAAGTATATATGTGCACAATTTTTAAAATTCTGTACATTCAAAAATATAATTTTTATTTTTATTTAATGCAACACTTTGATATTTTTAAAATATATATATACATATAGAAGCTTGTCAATAGAAAGAAGAAAATCTAAAAAAAATGTTTTTATGAGTTAAAGTTAAATCTGAACTTATTTTACTAAAAAATCATATTTAGCATATGAAGTAAATTTTAATTTTTTTTAGATTTCCTTCTTTTCTATTAACAAGTTTCCATATATATTTCTGTCTACATTTTACAGTTCATATGCAAAACTATTCTCTTAAATATGCAATGAACTATTTCTTTTATTTACAGCTATATTTATGAGTGTATTAAAATTTCAAACATGTTGTGAAAAATGTATACTCATATGCAAGTTAGACAAGTTTCTAAAATTGTTTGAAAATAGCTATAAGAAAATTAATAGACACTGTTAATAATATATATGTATGCTAAAACTGATTATATACATCTGAATTGCTATATGCTATAGCTAATCAGTGTAATACTTTGAGATTAAGCTAAAAGTTATTTTTAATGTAAAAGCTTTAGAATTCACTATTTGGTTTTAATATAAAATACTTACTTATATAAACATCTTATGTTTTTTTTGAATATTTCTTGTAATTCTTGATAAATATCTTCTATCATAGTAATCAAAAATACAAGTTTAAGCATTTTAACTTTAATAGTCTAATATGTACATAATTTTAAAAAAACTAAATTTTGCCTTATTTTGAAATATTTGTTTCAGTTATTTAAAGCTTCTGTCTTTATATAGCGAGACTTTAAAAAATATTTAAGTATAAATAGTATTAGTATAACAAGCTTTAAAATATTAGAAAATATGAAACTTTA